GTATATATGACATTGATTAGATATATTTCAGAAAAATCAGCTTCAAAATAATTTTTGTCAAGTAGATGATTAACACTCATACTTCTATTGTCCAAGGAAACCATTTTGGAACAATCAAATTTTTGCAAAAGGTGACCAATTGAGTCCTTTTTGTAAGTGTGCAGTGGCTATACATGCAACGAAAGTAAATTATGCAAAATAGTCATGCTCATGTTATGACGCAAATATGCGAGAAAACGTTTATTTCATTATATAATCAATTTCAAACAAAATGTTCCAACGTTTGTGGTTTTATTTTTATCAATTATCTAGTTGAATTAGAAACTGATTAATTTTTCAAACTTATTAATTTCATTATCTATAATAATATTAATATTTAGATATCACATGCAATCAAAAGATTTATGAGTTTGAAAAATGATGTGGCAACAGGTTAAGATATTGAAAAAGCCATTGATAATAAGATTCAAGGAACATCAGTTGCACATATTGAGCAAAAGAGGAATGTTGGAAAAATTGTAGATACAATTGCTGGAGTATCTAATTGGTATTCTTGGAAGTGGCCAATTGACGAGGATTTATATTTGCTTGTGAGTTACTTAATGTAGGTGATTGGACTAATTTTCACCCACAAAAATCAATGGTTTAATTAAACAGCAATTCACAAAACCTGAACCAATGTTTACACCACATCCTATGCCAAAGAAGAAATGAAGTATACCAATTCCTGATGCAACTGGTAAATAAATATAATATCTTAGAAACCATCCGAAATTGGACATGCAGATATTCATCTGCAATGAAAAAAGATATCATTGAAAAAAGTAATGTTAATGATAATAGTAGATAAAAATTGACAAAATAGACTATTTTTACATTTATATTCAATAATAAAAACAATTTCTCATAATAAATATTCAAACTATTTAAAAAAAACTTACATTTATAAATAATTGGTCTTGCTTCACCTCATTCATGGACTGTTTTAATAAATTTTTTTTTATATAAAATTTGCGAAACAATGAATGACATGATAAAAATTCTTTGAAATCTATGGTTGCTAAATAGCAGTCAAAAGCTTGTAAAGAAAACAATAATAAAAATTTGCATCATATGATTTAATATTCTGTGTAATGCTAGTAAAAAAAATTTGGAAGTTGATCATTGTAACAGTGATTACTAATTGTGTTGCGGATCACGAATTAATCATTATTCATATATCAAGTAAATAAAGCTATATATACCAAAGATACCAAACTAATAAAACAATTTTAAATCTATAGCAAAATAAATTATGGTTTTGAATTTTGTATGCAACCAAGTATATGTGACAACCAAGTGGATAAGCTTTCGAATAATTCACTTAAAACATTCAGCTCTAAGATTTTCTTTTCTTTCATTATTAAAGGCAAGAAAAATATATTGTAAAATACAAGGGTATAAAACAATGTTCAATTCGAAATTTTATTAATAAATTTTCAAATGAATGTGTTCTATCATGATGATTACCAAAAAAAAAAGCCCAATAATAAAATATAAATAAAGAGAGTGTATTGTGCTTAACGATTTAAGTATTTAATCAACTATAAATAGAATAATAAATCCATTTTCTTCTTTGCATATGATCATTTAATATTGCTTAATAAAAAAAAATAAAAAATATATAAATAGTAATAATAATATGATATTTATTTATTTTCGATTTTGATCATCAATATGTCTTAACATATTGATGACTTGTTCCAACTCAAAAATATGTTGACTAATCCTCATTCTATGATCCTTAATCATAGATATATGATGGATCATCAATGAAAAGAGGTCATTATTGTTGTTTCCACACTTTAATGTAGAAACATTTAAATCGCGATTACATTTATGACAATTATTATTAATATCATTATTAGTCGAAGGTTTAACATAAACTAATTGGCAGGGTTGTGGTGGTGGTGGTGGTGGTGGTGGTGGTGGTGGTGGTAAAGATTGCGCTGATGGCATGTTATTATTGTTATTGACACTAGTCACTTTTTGAAATGGTGGACTTGTTGCCATAATTGGCAATGAATTATCGAATGCAATAATTTCTTGATTAATATTTGAAGTTTGTTGGGTTGAATTATTAATTTGTTGCTGTTCGGAATTTTGAACCTGCACGTAATTTTGTACTTGCTGATCATAATAATAATTTTTGATGGAATAGTATGATTATTTTAGATGGCTGAGTTGATGTGTCCTCACCAAGTAACAAGATACTATTATATTATTATTCTTAATAATACTGATAATATTAATTTATTAATATTAAATAATTATCAAACACGGCTAAGTGAATTATTTTATTTATTATACAATATTATTAAGCTAGTTTATTGTAATTTATTGATTTATAATTTTTAAATAGTTTTACAAGTATTGTAAAATATAAAGTAGAATTTATCCTATAAAGAAATAAAGAAAGGTTTATTACGTTCATATTTATACGTTTTTGATTCACTTTTATTTCTATTGTGTTACAAGAATCGGAGTTTTTTCTATCAGTCTGTCAGTCTGTCAGTGTTTCCCACTTTCATTCCTTGTGTTAACACCCACCCGTATACAAACTGGTGTGTAATGTTACACCCCGCATAAAAACGTTTGCTCGTGATTTGAGCATAGTGGAAATTTATAGAAAAATTGTTATTTGTCATAGACGCTATCTTTCAGCACTTTACGATATTAATTATTTCCAAAGTATTTATAATATTTCCAAAGAATATGTTTTAAATATAAGTTTTTAATTTAATAATTTATTGTTTTTTTGAGCTTGGACAAAAAGTGTTTTAACAATGTTGGTGAGTTAAAAAGAATTTTGAACGTGTTAGTTTAAGAAATTCTTTCTTCCATAAAGGAAGGATAATTAGTTAATAATATTTTTTATTAATTTGATTTGGCGCAATGTTGGGTTAAATGATTATAAAATGTTGCACGAATTATTTGTATTGTTTAATATTTAAACTACCCAAACCAGCCTAAGTGTACAAGTGTAATAATCAACGGTCGTTCGAAGAGATTTATGCAATAATAATTCTCATGTTACAATATTTTGAATTACACGACCAAGTTGAACTCGCCACCAAAATATTTTGAATTACATGACCAAGTTAAACCCCCAAAAAAAAATAATTCCACATTTTTGTTACACAAATTTTATTTTAGTCTCAATTTCTCAAGTTACATTAGTCATTTTTTAATGATGCAATAAAATGCAATAATTTCGTGATCAAGATTTGAGTTTGTTGAGTTGTTGAAAATTTTGTTGGGTTTGATTATTAATTTGTTGACATTCTCGTGTATAAATTTGTTGCTGTTCGGAATTTTGAACCTGTTGCTGTTAAATATTTTGACGCACGTGATATCGGAGTTGTCGGTCGTAGTTTTGTTGTTGGGGTTGTTGCTAAAGTTGTTGAACAGAATGTTCATCACAATAATAATTTTGTTGCTGTTCATCAAGAATTTGTTGTTGTTGAGGCATTTTTGGTAAGAATGGTGTAGATGTTTGAGTTGATGCGTCGTCACTAATTATTTGCCGTCTTCAAATAACAAAAGATTATTATATTGTTAATGCTCTGTTTATTAACACGACTAACTTATTATACAATATTATTAATATTAATATTAATATTATTAATCCTTTTAAATCCTTACGGATATTTTTCCAAAGTATTTACAGTATAATATTTCCAAAGAATATATTTTTTTAACAATTAATAATTTATTGTTTTTTGAGCTTGATCACAATTTTGGTTATTTATTATAATCCTATATATAATTTTTAAATAGTTTTACAAGTATTTCAAAATATAAAGAGTTTGAAAATGTTAGAGTTTAAGAATTTCTTTCTTCCGTAAAGAAAGGATGATATCAGCGAAGAGTATTTTCTATATAATTTCCATTAATTATAAGTTGGCAGGCATGCTAAATATACGTAGTAATTATCTTAATCTAAGTTCTTGTGGCATTAAAATTCATGCACATATTAATTCAAATCCAGCAAAGAATCTTATACCTCTCTATGATAAATGATTTTGTATCATGTAACAAACATGTTGCAAAGAATATTAACATCCTATCATGTATTCATGATAAATGATGCAATTTTTAATAAAAATAGACTATTTCATGACCAGATGGTGCATCGATCAAGTAGTCTAATAAATTACAACAAAAACATATAAATAGACCTGTTACCCTCCACTCGTGAACCAAAAAATCGCAAAAAATGGTGCATCGGTTTTGCTTTTTACGTTGCATTCGAATTCGAGGGTCGAGGCACGTAGTGTCGAAATGGCGTTTTATGTATAATTTGGCTTTACACGCTATATTCAAATGCAAGGTATCTATATATTCGTTCGGAGCATCAATATCAACCAGTCATATTATTATTATATCAATATTTTTATTTTATTTGTTGCGTTGCAAAAAAATTATTTATTTATTTATTTAAAAATTACAATATACAAAGGGAAATTGTTCACGAATTTAATAAAAGATCCATCGCAAAGAAGAACCCTCATGCGAATTAAAAGTTATTTACAAATTTCGATTGTTAGAAAAATCAACCAAACTTTTTTTTTCTAATAAAAAAAAAAAAATCTTTTTGTCCTCATGTTTATTTATTTATCCCATATTAAAGATTAATGTGTCAATTGGGGGGTTTCAAGTCTATTGCCATAGAGGAACAATCTTCATGCAAACATCAAAAGTTATTTCCGAATTTCGATTGTTAAAAAAATCAACAAAGCTTTTTTTCTTAAAGAAAATCTTTGCAAAGATTAATTTTATTATATAGCAACTAAAAATAAATTTTTTTCTTATCCAGATCATTCAAAAATAAATTTGCCGAAAGGAATTAAAAATAAAAATTTTCCTATCCGGATCATCCACGAACAATCAAAAAAATTTAATGTAAAATAGTTCCTTTAATCCTGATCTCGCGACCTGAAAATATACTGACACTAAAGCTCCAAGGTAAGGCCATAAGTTTTTGGTCGTTTTTAACGGTCCGAAGGGCAGGGCAAGACGAAAACCTAACTGTAGACAACGATAGACATCGAGAAAAAAATCTAAAGCGAAACACAATTTCCTTTTAGTCAAGGATTTGCTTTTCTCAACCTGACATTTTGAACAAAAACAGATAAAATAGATGGCAATGGGAATTCGCATGATGCGACAATATAAAAATAACCACAACCATTTATCATTTTAGGAAACGAAAATATTTTTGTTCAAATTTCAATTTTAACAAATTGATTTCAGATCTCATCCGTATCTACATTTAGAAAGTAACCGTAACACGGCAACCTTTCCATTCCCCAAAAAAAAATCTCTATTCATTAAAACACCAAGTCGAATTTTATATTTTTATATTATATAATGTCACATGCTAAACTATTATCATCGTTATCACAAGAAAGAACGGAATTTGTGCTTAAAATTCAAGGTGAAATATATAATAATGCAATTGTTAGTTCTGATAGAGAAAGTCAAAAAAAATTTTTTTTTTCATTGGTCAAAAAAAACAAGGAGCTTTCTGAAAATGAAAAAGAATTTTGTAAAGAAAAGTTTATTTATGATGTTGAATTAAATAATGCAAAGAATAATGAAGGCCAACCAAAAGAATGTAACAAGTGTAAATTGACAAGATATTCTGATAGGTTCTGTGAAGGTTGTATTAG